AACCTGTTAAGCATTTCAGTAATTGATGATTGTCTAATTTGTACACATCAATTATAGAATAGTTTTATTACTAAACAGATCTATGTACAACAGCTTATTTGCAGATTACTAAATTTAGGAAGAGCTCAAATCCATTACAGGACAAAATTAATGTGGTTTTGTAATAATGCATTCAAATATAATTAAAACACTGAACAAAAATTAATGAAACATTCCAGATGGTGCAATGTTTTTCAAATTTATCTAAAATGTACTTTTTTTTTTTTTTTTTAATATTTTGGGCATATAGTCTAGCTAATTTCATTTAGCTTCTTTTTTCTTTTGTTTATATTTTTATACCTTTTGTTATTAAAAATCCCACATTGTGATGATTTATTTCTTTTAAAGAGAGTCTACACCCTTGATTTAAGTCTTGTATAATGAAATATATAATTGCTAAAACAATCTAAAGGAACTTGATCCTTGTAATGTTATCCTTGATTCAACAAATAAACATTGTTCTAGGGAACTTAGATTTCTCCAGAGAATTGTACTTTCTTGCTTGATTCTATTTCCTTAGTTGCCGAAGACAAACACCTCCCTAAAAGTGAATTTTTTTTTTATTAGTTTTAAGAAAACTATATATATATATATATATATATATATATATATATATATATATATATATATATATATTGGTAGGATTACACATTTTTGTGTATTAATAACTGATTTTGGTTGTTTCCACGGAAATCAAATGAAGTATAAATAAATAAATTACATCAAACTTAGTATGAAAATAATGAAAAATGAGAAAAATCAGCAGTCAATTGCTAAAACCTCCTGAAGAGTGGACTGAACAATTACAGAAAAGTTTGTCTATGAAACTCTGGGGTTGAGATGCTGAATATAACCTCAATCAGCTAAGTACCAAATTTTATATATATATATATATATATATATATATATACATACACACACACACTAAATATAATTGTATTATGATTGAAATTAAATTCATGTATTCCCCATCCTCCATTCCAGCTTTAAAAATAGTCTGAAAAGCTTCCTGAGCCTTTTTAAACCTAAACATCGTTGTCTTAGCATAAAAATTCAATTCTCTATTGATGCAAGATTACAAGATATTTCAAAGTCCACTGTTTCTCAAGCTGATTCAAAAGCTTATACCCCTCTATGTCCAATTAGTGTTATTAGATTTGTTTGTAAACAAATGCCCATGTTCAGAGAGAGCCAAAAAAGGCTTAATATTTTAAAAAGAATTGTTTTAATCAGAAAGAAGTTTATCTAAGATATTTTCAAGATGGTGCAATGTGATTACAATATCCTAACCAGAAAATATTTAGTTACTTATATCAATCTAATTTAAATTTTAAGTCTATAACTTAATGATGAAAAAAAGAAAAGCATTTTACATTAACATAGCATTTTTTATATAATCTTCTTTGTCACTGAACTTAATTCACTGGTGAATTACCATAATTCCCCATGTATAATATGCCTTCATCCATAATATGCATCCCTAAAATTGTGCTGAAAGTGTGGGAAAATGATTCTAGTTACATATAATACACACCCCTTGTTTGGTAATCAAACCCTATAAATTGTACCTCACTAATTTCATTACAGCCATAGTTTCCTACTCTTATTAAAATGGTTTTAAAAATAGAATAATATTATTCTAATTTAGTTTTATGATAATTCTTATTTTATTTTACATTTGTATTATTAGGTATATATGATTGTATTTGACATCCTTATGGATGTCATATGTTTGTGGTGAATAGTCATTTCACAACTGAAATCAACCTATGAAACTGCAATTTTTTAAAGATATTTTTGTAGCTGTGCATAATACGTACCCCTAATTTTATTTATTTATTTATTATTTTTTTTTTTTTTTTTTTTTTTTAGAAAAATGTGTATTATACATGGGGAATTGTGGTATATAGCCCAAACATTATGTAACAAAAATTTAACATCAAAATTCATCTAATACCTAAATGTCAAGCTAGACTTACTGATGTACCATTGTATGCATGTTTTCAACAAAAATGATATCAAGATTACAGCATTATTATTTAAATCTTTTTTTCCAGAAATACTTCAAGGTTGAAGAGATCCACACTAAGTTACAATATCAATAAATCTGATCATAAAGTATTGAGCCATTTCACTGTAGCATACCAAATGTAGGAATGAATTTTTAGAAAGTTCTTAATATAAATATGACCTAATATTTTAGACAGCCGAATATAGATAATAAATGTTTTTCTCATGTACCAAATACTTACGTGAACATAGAATTATTTAAGAAAAAATAAAAGTATGAAATAAAACTGTATTCTGTCAGGTGGGAATATTATAAAAATGTTGAATATATCGAATGTTATTGAAATTTCATGTTCCCTATCAGGTTCAGTATTAAACAAGTTTCTTTTCATGCATTTATTACAAATTTATTAAATTCTTGTACTGCTTTCAAATATGGTATAGTTTAATTTTAGTATTGAATCTATAAATATTTATATAGCTCAATTAGTTTCAGAAAGGCTGTCACATCAATAATGTAATGGAAGAGATCTATTAGATACATCTTAATTGAAGTCAAATGACTTAAGCATTTTTTTAAATGTTTTTTTTCTTCATTCAAATGAAAAAGCTACTAGACACTAACAAAAACATAACAGAGAAGGGTCAGCAGATGATAAAACCATGTGTCTCCAATGAAACACCTACAGATATGCATGCACACACAACAGTAATTGAATTGACAACTCTCCAGTTCAAACACAAAACATTAGTCATGTAAGTTTAAAAAAAATAAATAAATAAAGATATAGAGAATTTGATAGTAAAGCAGATGAATTAGACTAGTCAAAAGATTAGTGTTTCATAGCTTCTGTTGTGGTTGATTTTAATTCATTTTAATCAAGACAATAATGGAGAGATATTGGGGTTAGGAAGCATTATGTTCATTCCAAACAAAGAGGACAGACAAGCCTTAGCAACAAACAAACTAATGCCAGACCTAGCTACACTGCACATTCCACTACAGCAAGCGTCTAGGGAGTCGTGTCCGGAATCAGAGAAATAATAGAGATCAATGCATCTTCAGTCAGGAGGAGGAGGAGGAGGAGGAGGAAGAGCATCCATTTATTTTAGGATTTTAATTTTTAAAAATATTTATCAAAACCAGTAGCGGGTTCCAACACCCCCACCCAACCTCAAAGATTAATCTCTTGAAAATTAATACATGTCCCACCCCACGGGGAAGAAGTACTTAAAAAAAATTCATAAAGACTCAAAATTTACTACAATTTTTTTTTTTATAATATAAATACCTATCTTAAAAGATTTACACAAGTGTAACAAGTGGTGTCTTAATGACTATTCAAAATAAGTCTTGTTAACTAGTAAATAAGTATAGTAGAAATATTAAAATGTTACTTACAAAATCCATTAGATTTTGCTTATTTTTTCCTTATCATTATAGTAATTAGATATAAAATTATTAACACGATATACTTCAGATCACTGCAATGAGCAAACAACTTACAGAAATAGTGTCATTTAGGTGCTATCTTGATGTTAAGTGCGTAGATAGACAATTTTTTTTTTTTAAATTTTGGTTACACCTGACCAGAAAAATTAAACTAAGCATTAAACCTTGAAATATGAAAGGAAAAAAAAAATAAATAAATAAAAAAATCAGACATGGCTAAATAAAATGCAAAAATAATCACTATAAAATATCACTATAAATAAAATTATAGTGATAGAAATAATTCTCTTAATCTTCAGTGAACACTAATTCCTAACTCCCCATCCACACACCACGCCACTGGTTAAAATGTTTTTAAAAACTCTAGAATTCTTGGAGGAAATTTTGCAGAATTTAAGAGAAAATCTAAAATTGCCAAATAGTTTTGGGTTTGGCTTAAATTTATATATTTTTTTTTTTCAAAAGATGGATCAAAATTATTTCTTTGCAATTAATTTTTTTTGGGGGGTGGGGATAATAACTCTCTCGCTCGCTCTCTCTCTCATATATACAATTTAATTTTTCATTTACTTGTTTCATCATGTTTTCTACTACTTGAAATAAGTAAAATGAAACAATGTCAAAATGATGAATATTCAAGGTGTTAGCAAGAGTACCATTATAAGGTATTGCTTTATTTGGACTGTCACACTCATTCTCTGTGTAAATAGTACACAATGCCTTGATCAGTATTCCTCATGTCCAAGTAATTCTCCACCTCCATTTGAGAAAGTCCAAAGAAAGGAATTTTAAAAAAATCTCTCAGATTTAGAGACTAAAAATAAAATAAAAAGGGAATTGGCAAGCATCCCTAACTAAGATATCAATCTTAATTTTGTGGTTTAAAGCTTGCATGAGAGAAATTTGTATTCCATTATTCTGAAATCATGGAGTTTAAAGACCATGATAAAGAGGACTGGTGCAGAGACTAGATCAAGGAGGGTTAGTTTCATGCCTTTCTCCAAGAGCAATAGCACAAAAACATTAAAATTTGAACTCCATCTGCCAATTCCATTTTCTGATTGATGCCCAAATTTACCAGGTCATGCTTTTCAGATGTGTTGACATGAATAAAGATAATAAATAAATATACATAAAACAAATGTTGACAAATGTTTCAGGAATTGACAAAGGCCTACACATCAAGTCACATGATGAAAATAGTCAATCAAAACATTAGAAATGATCACACAAAGAATGAGTGTAAGAGCCTGAATAAAACTGCCCATTCACAATTAACCATAAACTGAATGGGATGCAAGTAACTACTAGTTACAAATGGAGGCCACGACACTATCCCTGTCCCCAGGGGCAATTCTCAGACATTAGCTAGACACACTGATTCTGAATAAGTAGCAGTCCAACAACTCAGCCAGCAAGACAGAAAGGAATAGTGGTATCAGCAGCCCGACAAACCATTCCAATGATGGTAGAGTCAACTGGTCAAGCAGATACTTACTTGAGGATCCAGATTCGCGGTTCTTGCTATTGGCTACAAACAGATGGGGGCATGCTCAGTTATACAACAATATATAAAGATTTATATATATACATACATATATATATATATATATATATTTTTATGTATATGCATATATATTTATATACATATACTAAATGAATTACAAAATACAATATGATACTCATACCAACACATACTTCCACACCACACATGGGGCCGGGTGTTTAAAGAATTCCAGGCCTTTCATAGCTCCCTAGACAACATAAACAGAAAAATAAGCCATGGACAGAAAAATGAAGAGAGAGAGAGAGAGAGAGAAAAAAAAAGAAAAAAAAAGAAAGAGAGAGATAGAGAGAGAGAGAGAGAAAAAAAGTCTCTTCACTCACGAGTTCTACGTTGTTTCCCTGTAGAGCAGAAAACCCAGAATCCAAACAGTGTAGATTAGATACGAATATTTTGGTTTGAAAAAGAGTTTGTGCTCCACACAGGCTCAAAAGAACAGCATCAGCTTGGATAGAGTTTTAAAATGTACAGAGTTCCTTTTTTTTTTTTTCTTTTCTTTTTAATTTATTCTTCTTAGTGCCAACAGAAGTTTTTATTATTATTATTATTTTAAAATAGAAAAAGCAATGTAAATGGAATTTAAAAGAATGAACAAGTGTATCTTCAAATGCACATATCCCTAACCAACAAATTTATTCTTAGAATATAGTAAAGCCCAGTAAATATTCCTTTACAAATAGGCACAGTCAAAGAGAAGGAAATCTTGCCATCCATGTCCAAATGATGACATGCTTAATACTAATCTCATATTTAAATCAATTAAAATCAGACATACATATTGAGTGTTAACATTATATAATGGTATAGTAAGGTGCTTGCTTTAAGGGTTTAATCTTTTTTATTACTTTACTCTCTATTAAAGGATTTTTGTCTTTTATTAACATAAAAATGCTTTTTATAACTTGGATTAATTCCTGTTATTCATTTTTTTTTTTTTAGATATATTCCTTATGCAAGAAGTGCATCTTTGATTCTCTATATTGTAATTCTCTTTATGAACTTATAAAATATCATACAGGTTGTGTATCCTTTATCCAAAATCAGAAAGTTTTTCATGTCTTGACATGACTTGCCACAAATGGAAAATTTCAGAAAGCAACATGTCTACCTGTAGCATGATTATTGTGCTGCGGTGTTACAAATAAAATGTCGACTTTTTCAGTTTTCATTACATTTAACTGTAATCAGAATCCATGTTTTATTTTGATACAAATACTATAGCTGTATGTATTGTAACATTTTAATCAAAACACAACATCATTGGTAGAGACCAATAGCCTACCAAACACAGTGAATGTCATCGATGATGTACTCTCTCCCTCCAGTTTCTCACACCTGATGTAGAATTAGTGTTTGATTTTACATTTATATATATTTTTTGTAAGTAGTGATCAGGTTTTTCTTGTACAAAATATTATTTTTAAATGAAATATTAATTTCACCACTTAAAAATCCATGTGAGCATTATATGATTAGCATCATTACCTGTATCAGTATGTACAAAAAAAATTATTAAATTTTATATAATACTACTTTCAGTGTATATGTATAAGCCGTGTTATGAAATGTAAAGAGATATCATGTTTATGCTTGGGTTTCATTCCCAAACTGTCCCATTTTATAGATGCTATATACAAATTAAATAGACTGTATTCCAAAATCTGAAAAAAAATCTGAAAACTGAAGTACTTCCATTCCCAAGAATTTTGGATAAAGAATTCTCAACTTGTATGATAAAATTAGAGACACAATGAGAAATATTTTCTTAACAAGAAATACTGATGTCACTGAAAACAATAATTCACAATATCAATTTTACAAAGTTAATGGCATTGCTTTTGATAAAATATTACAAATTTGCTGATTATATAAGATGCCTAAAGCTTAATTGTATAATTAAAAGAGATTCTAGAAAACGTTGGCAATTTTATAATCTAGCAGCATATCAGATAGGGAACCAGAACATCTCCATCCAACACTGAAACAAGATATTACACTTTAAATACAGGAAAAAGAAAGAATGAAAAAAAAAAAAAAATGTTCACTTTTATATACTTACCTTTTATTTTTTGCTCAAAATCAGAATACCTGCCTATTTATGCCAACAAATATGGTTTTAATGGAATAATGAAGATGAATAAATTTTATTTTTATCACAGGATGTCATATTTCATGTATAGTGTGAATCTAATTTCTTGATTAGTGACTGAACTAGAAGAACTGGATGACAACTGGCCAATGATTCTCAGGAGCAACTAAATCATGTATATTGAAGTCCTACCCTCAAGATATCAGTTCCTACAGCATGTATATCTAAAATGGATATGATATATTAATTTTGGTTTGATTAGATAATAGACATTCAAAGAATCTAAGTATTACTTATCCACCTAAATAAAGATAAATCTAACAATTAAGTGCAGATATTTTTTTTTTTAACTTTCTGACCAATTAAATTTTGTTTTCTTTCGTCAATGAATTAAAATAAAACAATTTCTAATTCATGAAAGGTCTCGACTTTAGATATTAAATGTTAGTAAAAGCAAATCTAAAATAAAATATTTACTATATATGGGTTAAAATTTTAAGTTAAAAATTTGAATTTTATCTTATCTGTATTAAATCTTGCCATAAAGCAAATTGAATATAAAATGTTCCAAAATAAACATAAATACCCCACAGACTAGACTTTTATTGAGACAATATTGTTTTAATTATCATAAATTATTGATTTGGACCAATATCCTTGTCTTTGCTTATATTCACAACATTTCGACAGAGAGCTCTCCTGCCTTCTGTCTGTTGTATTAAGCACATACAATGGCTAAAAGGAAAAAACATCAGAGAAAAATATAATATAATTTTACTGTCATATTTATTGACAAAGAGTCTGCAGGAGTTTAAAGAATTTTCAGCAAGAAATTTGCTGGCATTTGATCTTTTACTATCCCAAGTACAAAATGTAGACATGATTGGCAGGCAGTAAAAATTTGCTAGCATTCTAGTACCCCCACCCCCAATCTTAATCTGAGAAAGCGGCTCTGGAATAAATTCTATTCAAACAGTAATGCAGACTCTTCAAAACATTGGGAGATGAAGCTAGTTTTGGGTCTCATTCAACTATCATAATTAGATTGCAATTAGTTAAAAGATGTTCAAGTATTGTCGTATTCTAAATGCAATTTTTCAAATTGGTTTTCAGTTTTAAAAAATCCATCTGCAGTTTTAAATTCATAAAAAAATTTTAAAAATAAATAAAAATTTAATAATTAAAAAAATTCTGTTAAGAGTAAAAGTTTAATTAAAGACAATATATTTATTCATCATTTAATTTATACTTAAGCTAAAATTAAATATAAGGATTAAATGGAAAGGTTTTAATGACTGTAAGGGTCTGGTTTTGGGAGATTAAAAAAAAAAACAAAAACAATGGAATAAAAATTAAATAAAGTAACTCTGAAATATATAGTACATATAAAATATGTAGCCAATCTAAATATTAATTTTCTTACTGAGTTGCTGATGATGATAAACATTAATGTTAACCAAGTCAATCAAAATACTTGTTTTCTATTTCAATGTTATGTGCAAAGCAGAAGAGGGTGCTGAAAAGTCCTCTATCAATCTACTTCCCAAAATGTTTCTTCAGGCTGAGAACACTTCATCATCTCCTTGGAGGTGCTGGGAAAAATTCTCTAGTGTATAGTTTGGGGAATCACTTAGTGATATGATATGGTGTACTTATCACTGTTGAAATTGATAGATCAAAGGACATTTTTTTCTTCCTCCACTCTCACAGAATAGATCAGCTAACTTGTTAATAAGATCAAGTATATAATAGAAGAGATTAAATATTTCAATAATAATGACTTGTCAAAGTTATAGACAAGACATTTTTTTCTTTTCAACAAAACATGTATTTCAGAGTTAACTTTATTTTTTTCTAAAAAAATGGACTGAAGAACAAAGCATTTAGAATAGAGATTATTTTACTGATATACAATTATACATATACACAGGATATAAACAAACAACATAGCAATAATGTAATCAGTAGTGGGAGTTAAATAAAACCATATCAGTGATTTTATATTTAAAGATATAAATCTATTCTGCAGTTAGTAAAACTTCTTCTAAGATGTTAAATTAGGAGATAATTATAATAAGTAACAATAAAAATTTCAGTTTTTCTATTTGAATTTTCTGATGAACTTTAATTCTTAGGTTAATGATTGAATAAACATCTTGTGAGTTCCACAGCTATAAAATACCCGTGGAAATTCCCCTATTGCATTGTTAAACATTTGAGCTTAACTTTAACAGAATATTATAGTAATTAAAAAAAAAAAAAACATAAGTATGAATGATATCATTATTTAAAGAAGTAAGAGGGTAGAAATGAAAAGAGTCAAAATTAAAAAGGTTTTCCATTTCACTGAAGCAGATGTTAAACAAGAGTGTTACTGACTCCTTTATTGTCCCTTACTTTCTTATTTATTATGTATGCTTTCTTTTACTAATCAAAACCAAATAACATCTTGGATATATATTTTTCTTCACTCTTTCTTACCAGTCAAAATGGAATGGTCTATTATTTGAGGTAATGAGAATGTATAAGGAACAAATAAAAGTTATAATAGGATAATAGTTTTTGATAGTATTATCATAATAATGAAATATAGTCTACATCTTTATAACGTGGATGCTTCTAAAGATGTTAATTTATTGATGTATAGTATGTTTATATCCTGCACTTGTTTAATCAAACATAATTGAAACAAATATACAAATAATTTCCACTTAAATGAAGTTTGTAGTTAAGATTGCATTGCACCTTTCCATAGAGAACATTTTTAATCAATTAAGAAAACATCACAATTTAACAAATTTCAATAAAAAAAAAAAAAAAAAAAAAAAAAAAAAAGCAAATAAAAATATACAGAACAAAGACATTAAAGAAAACACAAAATAAAAGTGACAGAAAGTTAGGAGTTTTAGATAAAAAAAAAAAAAATAAAGAAAAAAAAAGAACTTTAAGATTTAAATTTTGAGAAATTCATGAAAAAGGTTTTTGAAAGAAAGAAAAAATAGAAAAGAGATTTTTGGGAAATTGATGCTTGATTAAGGAGGGGAGGAGAGAGATTTCAAATTAAAGAGAGAAATTATTAGAAATTGCATGAGGGATAATACCAAGGGTAATAGACAAGATAATTTAAGATCAGGCAGGAATATTGAGAAAGAGAGTACATTACAATACTGAGGGAAAAGGAGAGGAAATCTAACTATATGAGAGAAAGAGAGAGAGAAACTAAATTGAAAAACTCCTAAATATAAAGACAATAATAATTATACCATCAAAAACAAAGGAACAGGAAAAAAAATGTCAAAAGTTTAAAAGCAAGAAAAAAGAATTCAGAAGCTACCAAAGGGAGGTAACTGATAAAAAATAAAATAAAAGCTGTTAGACTACATGCTTGATTAAAAAAAAGAGAGAGAAAAAAAAAAGGTGGATAAAACAAAGGTGGAAGGAAGGTGGACGCCAGGTACAGTCATAACACCAATTATCACCAAAACTAACATGAACACACAACTATATTCCATGTAACATTTTAGATATTTTCAGTAAACATTGAATATGTAACTGCTTTAAGTTTCAGCAGAGCTGACAGAATTGTCTTCATCACCAAAACTTATTTTAGTTGATAATTAATAAGTGGATGCTAACCCATTATACCCAACTATGCTATAAAGCATGTTTGCCATTAAAATTTCAGAAAGTACTTTACAAAAAAGGCAGCAATTGCATAACCAACATGAATAATTTGGATTACCATTCATGTAGTTTTATACAAGGTACAATGGGGTTTAGCAACCAGAACAATGCATGGTTTTTCTTTTATATAATTTTCATGCAGGCAAACAGAGACAGAGAGGGAGCAGGGAATAAGTTAAAAAAAAAAAAAAAAAAAAAAAAAAAAAAAAAAAACGAGTAACACGCTGATTAATTTTCCTTTGATCTTTTACAGGTATATAATGGCTTACTACAAATGGTAATCAAGCAACAAATAGAAGTGGAAGGCAACTTACTTGAAGTCTTGCTAGACGTGGAAGAGGAGGAGGAGGAAGAGGAGGAGGAGCTAGTATTACTATTGGCTAACGGAGAGAAAAATAAAAGACAAAAAAAAAAAAAAACACAAGATAAACATTTGAACTGAAATTTATCAATGAATAAATCAAAGGATCAATGTAAATTTATGCAGTATATATGGGTGGATTCACATTGGTAACATATAATAATTGCTAATACTGAAACTTGGGAGGGAAAAATTATGATGATGGCTTGGTAATCTATAAAAAGAAGACTTTCTGAAGCCTCTTGAATTAATTCTTATTTAATTGGTCAGCTGACTTTTTTTTTCTTCTTTTAAATGACTTAACCTTTTTGTGGGTAATTTAAGGCTGAAACATATTTCAAATTGCATGATGTCAAATTGATGTTTCTAAGCAGAATCCCATTTTACTTGTAAAAGGTTTTATATATAACTCCTTGTATAGATTCCAACTGTGTCTCCAAATTTTCAATATTTTTAATTAAATAGCTGAGTTTTCTATTTGATATCAACTACTGCACATTAAATGAACTGGATTTCATTATAGTAATATCTGCAAGAAACCATTAAATACAAAACATTTTCTTTTATAAAAGTAAAAATATCTTTATTTTCATGAGCTGAAGCTTTGTCAGCTATTAATAATTTTTGACTAGTATTTCTTTCTTCATGATTTCAATTACTTTTCATCGCAATTACACAAACATTAGTAAACAATTACATTGAGTCTCACAGAGAAATTATCCTTTATTTCTGCTCCAGTCTGTTCATTAATCACCATAGAAATGATGGCTTGGGTAGTAGCAATGTAAGTAACTGAAATTAAGGTGAAAGAAAATGAGATATAAAAAAAAAAAAAAAAATAATAATATAAGAAACAAGATAGTAATGGATTTTTTTGTTCTTTATTCAACTGTTTCTTTGGACAGTGGTAAATTTATTATAAAATGAAGAATTTATGATTGCATTAAAAAAAATGGATTGTGTCACTGTAGGTTTATACAGGATAAAGAAAAATTAACAAAAACATTCAGTCAAAGCAGATAAGCTCAGAAGGAGTCCCAAAGTATGTTTTATATCATAGTATATATTTGTTTTGGCGGATTAAGACTTAAATAACTTATCAAGAATCTTTATAATCCAAAAGTAATTTAAACAACAAACTTTGGTAAGAATTTGGTTGGTTATTTTAATAAAAGTAATAATTGGTTACCAGTTACTGAATTCTTTTTTACCATTGCCACCATCATAATTATAACAACTCCATCTTCCACAGTGATTTTACATGATTATGTATTTGTGACAGAGTAGGATTCGGAAGATATCAAGCTGCAGGAGTTATTCCCCTTTGCCCACTTTGGCTTTTGAATATACACTACACAAAAAAAATTTAAAAAGGCATATATGGAGAGCACACTTAAGGAAAAAAAAAAATCAGTTCTTCAATGATAATATACTTTTGAGATTTATTCATCTTTACCTTAATTCTTATAAATTGTGAGCAACATTAAAAAAAAAAGCATATGATAAAACAGTAAATGTTTTGCTTAAAATGGATTCATTTCTAGCATTAGTATTTCAACCTAAAAAATATTCACAACTAATGTAAACAAAAAATTTAGCAAAGAGAAAATAGACATGCTAAAGAAACCTGATTGTTTATATCACACAATAACCAAATATCTGAAAACCTAGACTGAAAATTGCTTGAAAACTCAACATTTGAAGAAAGATTAGATGGAATTATCTGAACAGTAGAAACCATAATTAAGTACAACTAAACTTAAAAATGTCTGACAATGAAGAAAAATACTGTGATTTTGTAGACAGAAACCACATGAAACATAGATCCCAAATTATGAATTTGTACTTAACTTAGATAAAGCAGAGTTAGGTTTTGATTTCATATCTAAAGAATTTGTAAAATAAATATGGAGAGAAGAATATCACATACAGTAAAATGGCTATAAATTTTAAATAATGTGCTAAACAAAGATTTGAAATTGTGAAGTGTTAAAGAAAAAAAAAAAAAAAACCAATAAAGTTCCAATTCTGCCTGAAGTCATTCTTACGCACTTTGTGCTAATGTCCTTGAAAGCCACCTTTGGGGGAGGGGGGGTGCTTTATCACATTGCCAGATGTTTTGATAAGTTTAGACAAATTGTTCCTAAAGTAGGTAGTATCAGAAGAGGAGAAAGTTCTAAGAGGGCAATGAAGAATAATGGATAGATGGGTGTCATGAGAATCTAAGGAGTGCTGTCTCCCCACTCCCCAGAATAATAAAATGTAAACCAGGAACATTTGATATGTATGTTTTGTAAAGAATAAAATTAAAAGTTATATGTAAAAATAGTGTTTTATCTTGTGGTCCAAAATTAGAGTTAAATGTACATTTGTTCATATATTGGTAAAATTGACATGAGCTATACAAGACCGAGACAGCAGACATGGTGGGAAATACAAGAGCCAAGAAGAAGTCTCAAGCATGGAAGTACAATCAATGTTTTAGTTTTAGATCAGATGTTCTTTTAAATTTGCAGTCAACCTAATACCAAAGATTTTTACATTTGTTGTAGGTGTTGGGTGTTGCTAAGGATATGGTCTGGTAACCAAGGGAGCAGTAATCTGAAGAAGTGTAGAAACAACTGGTCTAGGCACTGACATGACACAATAGTTGTCAAAAGTGAGAGCTCAGTCATGTCAAAGATTCTTCCTTGATGCTGGTACCTACCGGTATCCATTATATCATATATGTATTATTTTTTAAAAATCATTTTACTCCAGGCAAGTCAATAAAGCCACTAAGATGCAAGGGGTTCAGTGTTAGAGAACATGAGAAAAAAATATTATTAAGGAAAGAGAATAAAAGAATAAGAATTAAGAAGACAGAAGATAACAATTGACACTGCATCTAAATTTTTGAAGATCAAAGTTGACTGTGAAGTTATGCCGGAAGAGAGTTTCACAAACAAGTGCAAGAGAAGAAACTGTTAGCATAAAACTTAGTTAAATCTAGCCATTCCAGCTGTAAAATAATGAGACCTTGTTGCCAATCTAGTACTGCACTTAAATTCATAAAGTCTGGGTACTATATAGGAAAAGTTGATCAGAACAATTATCATGAAAATCTTTATAGAAAAGGCATAGAGATGCTACATTATGGCAATGAGAAAGAAGCAATGATGCCAGAACAGGATCCATAATATTACAGATTCTTTGGATTTTGAAAAAAAAAAAAAAAAATTTAGTCGTTAACATAGTACAATATTTGATAAAAAAAAGAACTTGGTCAACTCAGGAATTCTTCCCTACACCCCAGTATGACATGTTACATTATATAAGAAATGGGTACTAACAACTAAATACTCTTTACTTTTAAGATGCTACAAAAGGACAAATTCAGTATAATTTCCTCAACAACTTCAATGCCAAGATTAAACATGGAATATTTCAAAATTTAAATTTAAGAAATTAGCACTTAAAGCATGATCACTTAAATATTTAAATTTATATAAATATTAAAAGAAAATATATAGTAACTAGTTTAATTTTTTTGATTAATTCATTTTCTATGGTTTATCAACTGTGCAAATTATTTAAAGCCAGAAAATATTTTTAGGCAGGATTTTTTTTTTGTGGGGGGATAATAATGGTTCCAACCTTACTAATTAACTTATAGCTAGGGGGGAGAAGAGGGGGGGTCGTACTTTTCCCCCAATGGTATTTACACACAAGTGAATATAACAAGCCCACTGGGAATTGGAACTCAGCTCTCCAATTAACAATTCTGAGCCATTATCCATTACATCAGCAGCACATCCAAGCTTACAGCACCTGGTATTCCCAAGTGCTCACCCATCTAGGTACTGACCAAGCTTAATGTTGCTTAATTTCAGTGATAGTATGGGAACCAATGTTTCAACATTAAGCCTATAGTAACTATAGAAACAATATCAATTTCCATATGGCTCACCATTGCAGTCGTTTTGAGAATTGCCATAAATTGTTACTTTAATGTAAAAAAATATCTAGAAAATTCTTAAATTTTGATAAATGATCAAATATTTTTTCTATATGTAAAGTCATTCAGAGAATGATAAAAATAAAAGCTTACTATATTGCAGCATTCAAGTTCTTGAATAACAATTGTAAATGTATTCCAGAATTCAAAAGTTTGTCATTTGAATGCATTCTTTAAAATTTGTCTATATTTCTGAGATGAGGTATTCATTTTTGTTCATCATTGTAGTAGCCAGGTATTGAACTCACAACTCTTTTCAAGTTACTGGATCCAACCAATGCTTTTATCCATCCAGCAGATAAAAGCAGTGGTGAACAGAAACTTGGAGAATTGAGTTAAAGGGAGTTTAACTGAAACATCTGGAAGAGGAATGACAAGGTAAAAGTAGAACGATCTACCCCAGTGGACGAAATAAAGGGTTTGATTCAAAATTCCAATCACCTGAAGAAGGCAGGTGTGTACAACAGCCAAAACCTAAACATGGCAACAAAGATGAATTCAACAGTCCAAACAATGTAAATGATATAATTATTCTTTAAAACTTTGGCTATATACATGATCATGTTAAAGAAACTGTTTGATGTAAAACTAAAAATGAATCTTCTAAGATTTTTCCATTTGCAATTACCATGTTTCAAACTACCCATTTTACAAACTTCTTCAGGTGTATAATCGATAAAAGTGGCATAATCCACTTTTTCATTTTTTAACAAGTGTTCTGGAGAAAAAAAAGTGATCTACAATTTTTTCATTATAGATTGTACATCTGAAAAAGACTGTAGAATACACTGAATTAAACATGGTAGCATCAGCCACACAAGTTCATTTATCCAAAAATATCTTGGAATATTAATGACTCTTATCAAAATTAGAGACAATATCTTAAAATTAATTGATCAGCAGTTACCAAGATTTAAAAAAAAAAAAAAAAAAAAAAAAAAAACTGAGGAGATCAGACATTTGTTTAAACCAACTTCTGCCCACCAAGAATATTTGTTAAAAATAAAGGGAGAGAAATATACCCCTTTCTTACAGATTCTACACATGAAGAAGGCTTTAGAATGGATAACTGCAACTGGACAAATTTGGAAAGATTAATCTTTAATTTTACATGAAATAGTTTCTTGAGCATGACCATATGGTGGCAGTTTTAAACTTTTAAATTATGGAATACATTTACAATTGTCATTCAAGTACTTGAGAAATTTTGTGCATGAGAAGAAGAGGCATTTTATTCTCTGGATTGAGTGAGTCTAGTCAATAAAAAGGGGAGGGGGCATTTATCAAAATTTTAAAATTTTCTGTAGACATTTTGTGCATTAAACTTAAAAGCTTTATGGCAACTTTCAAAACTACAACAATGGTGAGTCTCACTTACATGCTTTTCATAAGAATATTTCAGGAGCAAAGATATGATAATAGAGTATTTGATTAATTGAGTCATTTTGTCAAACTAATTCTGTCTTTCATTGCATTATGCTTGCACAATTGTACATATTGCCCTTGGTTGTCTAAATTATTGTTTTTAAGTTAAACTTGACTCTGATGAATGTCATAACAAGAAAAACCCTGGAGAGAGAGGGGGAAAAAATTGTTTGAATAAAGCAATAAAATGAATATAACATTATATTCCAAACAAAACCAAAGGTCATTTTTATTTTTGGTTATTTCTGTATTCAAAGTAAGAAACTGTAGCCTCAGCAACTCTTCAAGTGTTTGAATTTTTGAATGTCAAATCTTGTTCTGAAGTGGCTTGTATTTTCCTTCTCAGACATGGTACATTTTGCCCATTGTCTCAGGTCAACAGAGGACAATAGGTCGTTTCAGTTGAAGGACACAGTGTATTAAATCAGATCAGTAAAGATGTTTACATTTTCAATAATCACGTTTTTTGTTTTTCTTTCTTAATCTATTTAATAGAGGATATATTGAAAATCTTTAATGGCATCCCTGACATCTTTACACATTTATAAAATGTAATATCTCATCTCTTATATGATAGTGAATGCTGGATAATCTCGTCACAGATGAAGAGATGGATTGTAAATCTATTGACAAATGCTGAGAACAACATGGAAAGAATGAAGTTTTAAAGAAGATAGCAACTAAAAGGAAACATAAAATCAATGAAATGAAATTTCTAGGGCATATGAGAAAAGAAAGTCAAGAGAATTTAACACTGACAGGATATATTGAAGACAAGAAAAGCAGGGGTAGACAGTAAGTAATCTATATAACTGTTATAGTGGAACACAGCTATTCTATATTTAATAGACTCTCCCATCTATAATAAGTAGGAGTAGTAAGAGTAACAAGTCAGTCGCTAAGTCGCTCAGTGAGTTGATCAGTCAGTCGATGGCGGACAACCATTAGTCGGATATTAAAGTATCAGCCACCACAACTAGATTTCTCTGCATTATACCTATTATATCAAGTTCCTAACGTTTTGTACGTCAAATCTGTTTTAGGACCAACTTAGTACAAATACAAGCCTCCACTGTGAAATCACTCCATAACAATAACAAGCTTGACTGAATTGATTGTAGCACAAGGAGACAAAGTGGGAGGGGAAAAAAAGGATAAAGTTACTTAAAGCAACTAAAGACAGGAAGTTATGGAGAGCCTTGTGTGCCTAAGTCACATAAAAAGATCATCTTATCTTAGGCAAATGTAGAAAAAACAAAGGTTTTACAGCTGATTCTAGTTAACAAATTTAATGATGTAGTTATCAGAAATTTTTGAAAAAAGACCATCTCTTTTATTAAGAATTTAAGTCACTGCAAATATTTATTGTGTGGAGGCTGATACATCCCTGCAAATTGTCAGGTTTCAGCGGGTGTGTAACTGGGGGAGAGGGTGGGGTGAAATGGTTGCTTTTATAAAGACACTATTTCTAGATAGATCTTTTATCTTGCTTGGCAGTTTATCTGCCCATTAAGAGAGAAGACTGGAATTTGTACCAGTGCAACCATTGATGGCTTTAAAACAGTTTCATCTGACCAATTTCAATCACAAGGTTTGGGTCAACCCATGGTAGGGTTCTAAGGCACGTCCCAATGGTGCCATATGCTGGGATTACCTGTCCAAGCTGACATTAACAAGAAGTCACCTTCTTAACTAATTGACCATGGAGATTTGAACCTGGGTCTCATGGTTGAAATGTTAACCCATTTAACCACTCTGTACAACAGATAGGAAATGACATATTGAGGTTTTTGATAAATACTGATATGTCAAACCTGAAGTATACATCTCCTGAGAAAGTTACTCAAATACCCTAAAGAAAATAATGGCTTGAAAAGAAAGACATAAAAATAAGAAAATTCAAATTTTTTTTTTTTAATATTTCTAAAATATATGAGGATTGCTCCGAAAGTAATGCACCTATTTTATCTACATTGGGAGGCATACAGTTGAGGTAAGTCAGCAGAGTTTGAACTCTTGTGTCAATAACCTATAATATATTTTTTGTTACAAATAGCAGCTGAGTATCAGTCTGGCAAATGCTGTCTGATCTGAAAGTGCATCACTGAATTACTCCATGTAGAAAAATTGCACCCATTGATGTTCAAGGTTTACTGAATGTTTACAGAAACCAAACAATAGATGTGAGTACAGTTAAGCAATATGTAACATGTCTCAGTAATGGCTATGACTGTTTGCCAAAGAGTGGATTACTTCCAGTGGTAAAAACGTTTGCAGTTGCAGTAAGCAAGCTCTTTTACATCACCAGCAAAAATGCACAGACAATGGTGGTGATGATATGGAAACAATATATTGTATATGAAAGCTTATTCTACCCCGTGGTTTTATTATGCTCCCTGTATCTGTTGTAGTTTCCATGGTAATAAATAAGGGGCTTACTTTTAAAGTGTTCCAGGTGTATATACACTGTGCTATTCAAAGATTCTGGGGTCTTAAGACACAAAACGGCTCCATTGAAGAGAAAAAATATTGACAGAAAATAAGGTTTATTTCTTGAAGGAGTGATTTTTGAAAGACGTGAAATGTCCTTTGAGATATAGAAAATGCTGGTTAGCTTGACAGATAAATAGACTGAACAATCTATTCAAAATTCCTAAAAAATTGGGGTTGCACAATGTATTAGAAGTGACAACTAAAACAGTTTAAATTCTGTGAACAGTAACTAAATATTCAGATACTAAAAACAGCAATATTGTAAAACTTAAGGTTTAATGTGAAAATTAGTTTGGAGAAGTGGCTTAATAGCTGAGGAACTACTTTCAGAATACCAGGTAATATAAGCAACTCTTGGCCTTGTACCAGACTTAATAAATAAAGAGGAGCTGAGAGATAAAAGGATAAGAACAAATCAAACATAACGTGATTGAAGAGGACAGAAAATATAGAACGTGGGTGCAGTACTTAGTATGAAAAACCAAGAAATATACAAAATAGTGATACAATTTGAAGAAACATTGATTTTCAATAAATGGATGGCAGAACAAGGACAAAGAGGGAGAGTATAGGATAAAGAGCAACAAACATCAGGAAGTTGTGGAGAGCTATGTTCACGTATGGCACATAAAGAAAGAACTAGAACACCTTAGGCAAGTGTAGAAAAACAATTAAAAGTTTTACAGCTGATTCTAATTAACGAATTTAATGCGGTTATCAGAAATTTTGAAATAAGACAGATTAAAACATTAAATTTTTGGCACAGTACATTATCATGTTTGCTATTTTTTCTGCCAAAATGCAAACTCATGTTTTACTTTTATGCACTGACTGGTATAGAGGCAGAAGGGAAAAAAAAAATCTGTATAAAGATTAAGTTCAATTGACATTTTTTTTTCAGTAAAGATAAAATTATCAACAAATAAATAAAAACAGTGAAGTCTCAGTAAAAAAAGAAAAGAAAAAGTGATTGCATATGAAAT